GGAGGGGGCGTTCACGGGCCCCTCCTCCGAGCCCTCTGCGCTGCCTTCCCGCGGCGGCGGCAACTGTGCGCTTTCGAAGGCGGTGGGACACGCGGGGCGGGGACCCGAGGACCGCCGGGGTGAGGCTGGGCTGCCCCTGAGCGCTCTCCTTCCGGGGCTGATCTGGAGGCAGGGAGCCCGAGGCTGCTTTTATCCTGGGCCTTGGAGGCAGGAACGCTGCTGCGCGAGGACCAGAGAGTGCGTGGAGTTACAGATGCGCCCCAGACCTGGCGCTGGCCGAGGGGTTTCAGGCTGAGACTGGTCAGCCCCAAGGCCACTGGCAGGAGGAGTTAGGAGTAGAGAAGTGATAATAGCTCGGGAAAATCAGCCTCTTTTCTGGATTTCCTTTGTAACGTATTTTTCCCCCTCTTTTGTTGCTGCAGAAGAAAATGAATATTAAAAAAAAAATTCGCACCCTAGGGATGACAACCCATTTGCAGGTTAATGTTTTCCTACCCTCCTCCCCGCTTTAAAATGAAAAACAAAAACAAAAAATCCCAGTCTGTGTCCTGAAAGGCTCAGAGATAGCTTGCGGCATGTTTTGCTCAGGCGCTAACTGGGAACTTTCAAGCTGTGGACCGAAACCACGTTAGCGCTTCGTAAGTTACCTGACATGATCGCCCCATTCCCACAACTACAATCAATTGTCAAATGTAGGTTTCTTGTTAACCAGTTCAAATCCCTACAGATTTTGTGTATTAGTTAAGGATAAGGGATGAGGCCAACTGCCATAGACCCCACCTACAAACATCTTTGGGTGGGGATGGAAGGGACCCCTACTCAGGATAGCAGAATAAAACTTTGCTTATTCTAGTATTTGTGTGGAGTACCTGTTTGTCCTTATTTAGGCTACCACTAGTACCCACAGGATCTGCTAAAGTCCCCCCTCAACAAAGGAAAAAATGGTGGCCACAGTCGGCGTGGGGCAGCCTAGTGGCACTGTGTGAAGGGTAAGGTGGCAGGCCTGGGAGTGTTCCCCAAGTCGCCTCCTGGCCGCGTGGATGAATGCTAGATGAGGGCGTGATGTCCACTGCGGTGCCAAGCCCCTCTGCGGCGCACAACCCCACATCCGCTGGATGAGGGCACTTTTTTTTTTTTCTGCGCTGCCCAGACAACAACCTGAAAAGTCCCTCCATGTTGCTTTGAATTAGGGCAAAGCACCGTCGGGCGTTCTAGCAGTTAAGCCTCTGCCTTGACTGGCAAGGTTTAAAAGGGAATGCGGCGCGTTCTCCTCAAAGCCCCAAGCCGTCAGGGTTTGAAACCCTCGGGGAGTTGGGAGCGCTGGCAGGAAGACTTCGCGCCCGCACTAACGCCAGAACTGGGAGAGGCCGCGACGAGCAGGGACGCTCGGCCTTGCTCCTTCCTGCATCTCTTAGTCCTTCTTCTTCTACTCGTCGCTAGGAAAATGAGCCCCAAAATCTAAACTGGAAGAAATCCGTACGCTTTCTGGCCGCGAGAGACAGGTCGCCCTCCGCCCTGTGGGCCGACCGAGGAAAGTGCTGCTCCGGGAGAGAATCGCTTCAGGCGACAGAGATACAAGGGCCGCTAAAGGCTTCGGATCTGGGAACTTCTGCACCGAATTATCCAGGTTTCTTAGAAATTCGAGAGGAACTTTTTCCTAAGCCAAATTTCTCCCGATTTTCTCCAAATCGTCAGCGAAACGTTTCCGAAAAATGAGACTAATTTTTAAAAAGGAAACCAGCAGAGCTTTGCACCAGATTTGTGGGGGCATTTCACTCTCGGGCAACCCCCTTTCCTTCTTCGGTCACCTAGCCACCCCATCCTGAAGCCACTCAAACAGTCTAGCATTATTTGGTCCCGGGCCCGTTTCACTCCAGTGCACATCGGGGTCTGAGATCTAAATACTCATTTGATATAGCGCAGTAATCCTTTTCTCATATTTGATGGGAATGTTTTCCATATCCAGTATTTGACAACATCTCCCTATAGGGACAGGTTTATATTTATGTTGGTAAAATGTCCCCTGCCTCAAAGTCTATTGTAACCCAACACCTGACAACCCCGAGTCCCATTTCTGTTTGCAGAAAGGGTTTATTCAAGCACATAATGGGATCCCAGCAGAAAGCCTTTCAGAACAAGGGGCTATGGTAAACTTCACCACATGAACTCCGTTTCCAGGGCTATTAAGCTTTTAATTGGAAAATAGCAGAGGAAATTTCAAGGTGACTATAACGTGTTAGCAGTTAGTTCAGAGAAGAAAAGCCTATGCGGGAATGAATGTAGAAAGCATATGGTCCGAATCACATTTAGGAGGAGCGGCCTGCTTCTAAGTCCCTGCCGCTTATATACTTATGGGAAAAATCATCAAAGAAATGGGAAGGGAGGAGGGAGGATTACAAGTAAATGTAACCTCGCTGGAGTAGAAGCGCTAGCGTTCTCTGGGTGGTGTGTTTGTGTTTTCAAACCACAATTAGGTAGAACTGTGGCAGGTATTAAAAATGAAAGGGTGAAAAATGTGCTGGTCTTTCTGGTCCCAAACACGAGCGCACCGGGGGAGTGTATCTAAACTTTGGGGATGTGGGCGCCCTTCTGAGAGGGCCCTCCTTACTTTCCATTCAGGCTCCAAACATCATCGGAATCCTGCTAGCTGCTCCTCACCCCCAAGCGACATCTAATCAAAAGGACAGTTGCATTCTGTCGAGAAATGTTCTGCTTTGCTGGGTTCTCATGCGGGGAAGAGATGTGAGTTCCTAGTCTGCTGTTTACATCGTGACAACAGTGGTGTTGGTATGGGCAGACACTGGAGACCTGAACTTGTGGAACCCTTCCACAGGCAGAAAAAAAGTGTCCCCTCTCCTTGCTTGGGAACTCAGCACACACTACTCAGTGCTTCTTGGCATTGCTCTTTGGCCAGCTTCAAATTGAAAGGGGAGGTTATGGGCTGGATAATGGGGGGGGGCAAGAAACTTCTTGAAATCTACAGTGAAGGACCTTTTCTGACTCGCTTGGCTAGGGAGAGCTCTCGAGCTGCTCCTCCCCTGTCCCAGGAGACCCGCGAGGCTACCTTTACCGGGCACTGGGTAAAGGATTTACTCCTCAGGACAGAAGGTCCTGGATGTCAAGTTTCCACACGAATTTGGAAAAGAATTAAGGGTGATCTTGGTGGAAACCTGCTCCAGCCATTCAGGAGCCTTGGCCTTTTGAAGCAAAGGGTCCAGAAAACCGCGTTGATCCGGCCATCGACCCTAAACTGTGCGGCTCAGTCCTTCATCTCCTAGAACTCTCAAAGCAGCAGTCGCTGGGAGCAGGTGCAGACTCGCCCTGGGCCCAAGGCCACGTGGGCCCATTTTCTGGGGTGTGGGCTGTGGCCCCAGCGCGGCTCCGCCGAGGGGTCCACTCAGATGACCTCCAGTCTGTGCCCACACAATGTCCCTCATGCCCACCGGGCACGACGCAACAAACAGCACTTTCTGGTGCGATTTTAAAAACAAAAGGTCAAGAAAGCAACTTTCAGTAATGGAATCAAATTCAGGGAATAAGGAAAGAAAATTGATCACACCCCACCCAGTCCCCAGTGTTTGCTCAGGGCAGTTGGAAGCACTTCTCCAGGCCCAGCCACTTTTCCAGAAAATTCTCCCAGCCACCTCCTCCGCCAGTTCTTCAACAAAAGCCCCTAGAAGGCCTTGCACGACCCTGGTAATGAGAAACCCCCTTCAGTTCAGGGGCCCTCGAATAATGAGAAGAAACGTCCGCGCCCGCCAGCACCCCAGGAAGAGTGGATGAGAACTCGAAGCCTGGCGCCCAGTGCCTGGCCGGAAAGCTATGCTGCCAGGCTCAGGGTATGCCGGTTTTGGGGGCACCGCGCCACACCCCACCCATCGCAGGCCTACAGCTCTCAGAGCTAGGAGACTTCCGGAATGACGGAGCCACGCCCTGTTACCACTCCCACTGCCTTAGTCCCGCCCACCGGCTCCAGTCGGCTGCCCAGAACTGTGCAAAGGTTTCCAGGTGGAAAAGACAGAGAGGAACTTCAGCAAGTGTCGCCGGTAGGAGCTTTCGTGCCGGGCCGGGAGTCCTTGAAAGGCGCCAGTCGAGTCTCGAGTTGTTGGTGGCTGTCGAGCTCCAAAGGCGCAGGGCTGCCAGGCAGCGTGTCCCAGGCCTTCTCCGCGTGTGTACGGAGGGCTTCCGCCAGTCTTCTAAGCACGTTTTCCAGACCAATTCCAACGGGTCTGGTGGACAGGAGAACCTGCGCAGTGTAGATCGTGCCTCGCGCCCGGGACTGGCCACCCTCCCGTGCAGAGAGCGTGTCCGCACTGCAGTTTCTCAGGACTCGATTTTCCTGTGTGGGTGCGGGGTCTGATCCACGTTGCTGCCCCGGGGTGCAGTCAATTCTTGAGTGGAGAGAAGACGAGGCCCCACCTGCCGTCCCGGGCCCGGTTCTGCGGCGCGGGCTCCGCAGGACGAGTGGGGGGAGCGCCCGAGGCGCCACGAACGTGTCCGCTGGAAACCGGGAGGGGTCGCCCGCGTCCCCAGCCACTGCTGAAGCCTGAGGCGTCTTGGGGGAAAGGCGTGCAAGTCCTTTGCTCCCAACCCCCATTCGCCGGGCAGGGGCTTGCTGGGCGTGAGGGAGAGAACTAAGTCAGCTTACTCGTTTCTCCATGCCAGATCACGGGTCATCTGCAAGGCTGAGTAGGGCTGTGCAACCAAATGACGCCTGGCACTCCCGTTTGTGAACACACGTTCTGCGCATATGTACGAGTACGCACGACCCATCCCACTCACAGGTCTGACTTCGCTTGTTTCGAGTTTCTCCTCCAGTGGGTAGAGCTTTAAGGAACCGGATGCTTCATTGAAAAAAAAAAAAAAAAGCAGTAAGAACTAAAATGCCGCCATAGAAATCTACCTGTGCCCTGTGTCCAGAAAGAAAGCAATCAAGAAGCTGGTCTCAGGGCCAGGCCTGGAGCTGTCTGGCTCCCTCCTCCTAGCAGTCAAGGGTAAGG